TAACCTCAAAATTTATCTGGTTATTGTCGCAGGATATATTAAAGCTTTTTTTATTTTTCCGTTCATAAGTTATCGAGTATTCAGACCAATGAACTGGAGTGGGGTAGAATGCTTGTCAATAGACTTGATGTGCGACTCTATGGGCGAAGATAGGTCATTTTTCATCTCACTCGGGAGTATTTAAAATAACCATTTTCTATTTCACATTGTTATTGTCTGATCCACCAGCTTGTGGATTGAACAATAACAATGTGAAACAGAAAATGGTTATTATAAATAGTCCCGAGAGAGATGAACAATAAAAATGGCTGCGCCCATCGAGTCGCACCTTGTTCAAATAGTACATGTACATTGGCATTCTACCCCCACTCCAGTTCATTGATTCAGACACATCTATTAATCGAAAATAGTCGTTTAATCAAAAATAATCGATTAATCGATAAATAATCGAGTTTTGATGAAAATAAATGCCATTATTTTAAAATAGCTTCATTTAAATCGGAGACTCACAAACTATTTTGGACAAGAGACCCCTTTTCCAAAATGAACTGATACCTCAGACCTCTATAGCCAAATTACTTTAAAAAATCATATTTGTAGTTTTTTTTTATTAATACAAAATACCAATTTAAAAACTTTGCGGTTGGTTAACCCACTATGCATAAAAACGTTAAATTAATGAGAACTTTACATCACATTGTTACATTGTAACTCTTGTTTTCATCTATGGGATGGACTCATAACCATAGCTCATAACCGTCTAAGCCCAGAGTAGGGACGTTTACTTTTGTGATGAAACAATGTAGACGTTGCGGTGATATAGCGCTACTTTGTTGCGTTATTCAACGTTACTGGAAGTTCCCAAAAATGATGTCTTTTTAACAAACCAGATGTGACATTCCTGTTATATCTAAGAAAGTCTTTTTACTTCTTGTAGATGTTATAAAATAAAATCCTATTAATGAACTAAATGTGACGTTCATACCTTTTTATTTTTATCTAAATTTTATATGGACAAAATATTTTATATATTTCATCTTAATCAAACATGATATAAATAAATAAATAAATTTGAAGTTAAACGCTTATAGGACAAGTTAAACTTCTATTCCAATGCCAGGAAATTTTACAGAAAAAGTATAATACAATGGTCTAAATCAATATCAAAGGTAAAAGTAAGAACTTTGATAAAATACTTAACACAGAGCATCAGACTCCTCCCTAATACAGTACTATACCAGTTACGTAAGTAGCAAGCAATCATTGGTATCTCCATCTATGAACGCGAGACGAACTGTTAGGTCTGCGATGTAAAAACTAAAGATAGCCTTCTTAAAGATGTGTAACTTGTACACATTACTGTGCTGACCTGTATGCGATATTATTGTGAGTTATACAAATTAACATCGTATAAATGTTTGTCACAGGAAGTAACTAAAAAGAAGTACAAAAGATGTTTATGTAACTGCAAATTAAAGTATTCTAGCGTACATAAAACTTCATTTTAGATATATGCGAGGAATGTTAATGAATATGATGTTAAAATTTAAACATCTATGTGATATTTTAGCATTGTTTTAAAAATATATCAAGAAAAGTCTCTATGAGAAACGTTACAAAAAAGACTGGTAATGTTTAGTGGGAAGTGAATAAACGACATAAATTCCTCATCAAAATTTAACAAAATAAATAGACATATAATTCAGTAAATATCAAAAGTGTAATTAATAATTATTAATACAAATTACGTAAAAATAATAATGTAGGTAATTATTAAAAAAAAAAACATTAAAATCGCAAAGACATAAAAATTAAAAATTCAGTGTGATGGATGAACCTTTCTACCAATCTAGCTATCTGGTTCAATATTGGTGAGTTGTAGCCTTAAATCTCCAAGTTCCGTTGATTCTCAAACGGTTTCTTTGTTTTGTCAAAATGTTTGTAACCACACTGAAGCCTTTTTGACTAGCTATGATGATGGAAAAGCGAAAAGGTATTTTTCAGCAGTGTTCCACAATACAGGATTGTTGTGTTTCAATGTTGCGCTGCAACCAGAACTTCTGATAGCATTCGTCGAACTTCTGTATGCGTAAGCTCCTCGTCTGTGCTGATCAACTCTTTTTGCATTATCACATTGGCTTCTTCCACGGCTGTGATATTGTACGGATTTATTATCCATTGAGGAATTTGTAAATTTAAAAGATCCTCAAACCTCTTAAAAAATGAATGAGTTCAAGTGAGTGACATATGACAAAATAACATCGTCTTGAAGCATTTATGGTAATTTTGACAAATGCGGAAACTGTGAATACTCTGTGCTGCTTAAATTTTGTTTATAAAGGATAAGTTTAACCACAAATGCCTATATTATTGATTTTGTTTTAATGAAGTTGAGATCGTCACTCTGCATCTGCAAATTAACTTTGTTAAACATACCAAAGATATCATACGTTTTACATAATTCATATAAAAACAGAATATCTCTTCGAAAACCGGAGTCTACTAGCCTAGGTCGAACGGCATCTTTCAACAAACCAAATGTAGAAATATTTTTTGGGAATCACCAAGAAATCTATGAAAGGTACTCCCTTCAACCTCAAAACGTGTGGAACCTTGACGAAACGGGTTGCTCTACGGTTCACACGCCGTCACGTGTGCTAGGTAACATAAAGGCAAAACAAATTGGAGCAGCTACCTCTGGAGAACGTGGAATAAATGTAACTGTGATAGCTTGCGTCAATGCTGCTGGAACATTTATTCCCCCAGCCATCATATTTCCTCGTGTTCATTACAAAGAATACATGATTAACAATGCACCATCCGGTACCCTTGGTATGGCAACTTCTAGTGGTTGGTCCAATGCAGAACTATTTGTGAAGTACCTGAAACACTTTATCTCTGTGGTCATAGCCGGAGAGCTAGTAACACATATTTCATTAAGTGTTTGATGCACTTTGAAATTTTGTAATTTAAATTTGGATGGAAAAGCAGATATACCTGTGTTGGCTAGACCCATCCAGGGACACCAGGTACTGCGCATAATAGAAAGGGGTCGTAAAATATGACCCGAAAAAAGTGTTTGATTCAGAGGCCAACAAACAACAATTGAAAGTTTAGGTAATTCTAAAAATACTAGTAATTTAGGCAGACACTTTTGAGAGGGTTTATAATTAATAAATCAACTCCAAAGTTGATTTTTTTTAAATATGGTTTAAAGTGTTTGAATCACGCTGAAATTTTAATAGCGTCTTAATTAAATATAAAAAAAAATTAATTCCAAAAAGGCAGACACTTTTTCCGGGGTTTAATTGCCGGCCAGCATAAAAATGAATGAACCTCGTTATGCGCCACTATGCATTGAATAAGTATATACTTTTTAAAAACTAAACATTTTAAATTAAAAGTTTCGGGGGTCGAACCACCAACTTGCTATCCACACTATCAAAATTTGGTTTAAAAGTTTTTTTTCTCCTAGGACTTGAATCTGTAACGAAAAACGTTCCCAATGGACATTGTGTTGTAAAACAAAACTCATTTATTAAAAAATAAACCTAAAGTATTTTGTTCTTAATTTTGCCTTTATATCACTGCAGAATTCCTGTAAAATTCGGCGATTCTTATTTTGAAGAACAATCATAATACATATAAGACAATTCTTAAACAAAATAGTTTTCCAATAAGCTTTATTGTAGCAGTAATAAAGATACCATTATTTATATTCATTAAAATACATAACAATAACAAATAAAATATATATTTTTTCTTATATTTTACAATTTGATATACACAAAAAGAGATGACAAAAACCTGGTAAATATATTAAAAACCAGGTGTTTCATTGACATTGCAATCCCTAAACACACACATAAAATACATTAAAATAATGGAATGACTTTTTAATAGTATAATAAAAAACAATCTTAGTTACATTATCTCCAAACTTTCCATCCTTAGGGCCATACTGATTACTCTAGTAAGTTACAAGGGTCAAAACTGGTTTAATATTCCTGCAATTATCTATAATTTATAGACTAGTTGCCAAATACCAGCACTGAGAGTTCACCTGAGGATCAGATTTGGCCAGCAGGCCGTTTTGGAGACCCCTGATCTAGACCATAAAATAAAGTTCATGATTATGATGTCAAAAGAACCTTAAACGTTATTTTTGACAGCAACACTTTAATAATTGTATTTTTGTGCAAACTTGGATCATATAACTAATTTATCTGAGGCAAAATGTAACTATTTTAAAAATACATATTTGAATTACTGCTATATTTTTATTACAGTTATATTTTTAAAGTATTGCTTTTAAACCCAAGTTTATTGAAATTCTATACAAATAATAAAACAAAACTATACTATTATTCTAAATAAAATACAATATCCTTAGGTACTTCTGGAAATCTGACTCATTTTTATTTTAGTATACCTGATATTCAATATAATGTATAAAATAGCATAAACTTGAAATTTGTAAGAAATCATTTCCAGTAAATTTTGCCTTCCAATAAATGATAATTTTAATTTAAACACACTTGAAAAATGTCCAGTTAAATGATACCCTTCAATTCGCCACACAAAAATAGAATACTCAATTGACCGGACAGTAAATTGAATATGTAGGTACTTTAGCCTAGTTTGAATATCCACTTCATATCCTTTTTTTACATCTCGAGCATTTGTTTATCCACATCGGTCACATCTATAACTGCGTTTGTTTATCTGAGATGTACCTGTCCAGATAATGCCAACATGAATATAAAAGTGATTAGTTTGTTTAATTTTTGTTTAGATTTCAAATTTAGGTTGATTTGTAGTCTCAAAAGTCAAATTTAAAAAGTAAAAACTTTTAACATATCATTTTATCACCAATAAAGTCTAGAGCGTTTGTTTACATTCAGATCTAATTCTCTATCACATGATAAAAAATTCACAACATCTCAGATGCATCCGATGTGGATATTCAAATGCGGCATTAAATAACTAATGAACATCAATTACTTTTTCAAAATTCGTGCCATGTCTTTGTTTTGTTTGGTAATTGTAATATCAGCTAGTTCAGCTTTATCTGTGATGTTACCTATTAGATCATTTTGAGTATCAATTTCTGTTCCTAATTCAGATGCAAGTTCTTTAAGGAGAGTTATATTAGAACACATTTCTTGCAAATTTGCATCTAATTTGGCACTAAAATCTTTACTTCCTGAAGAAACTTGATCATAACTATCATAATCATTGCCACGAAGTCTAGTTGCTGGGTGGTTTTCATATCTGTTGTAGGTAGACAGTTTTTCTTCCAAATTTTGGTTAGATGTAGATTGCTATAAACAAAATTATAAAACAAAATTACCCTGTTTCAATAGAAAATTATGGAATATTTATGTATATTCTAACAGTTTCAAGCTCTATATGCACAAAAACTTACTTTAACAGTGCTAGGAGTGGAACTGGAAGTTGTAGAATTAGGTGAATCACTTCTACCAGCCATGTAATTTTTGAGACTGCTAAAAACGGATTTAATACCGTTAATGTGTTTCTGAGAAAACCTAAGAGTAGAGTTGATTTCATCTAATTGCTTATCAGTTTTCTCCAATTTCTCTCTTTGTCTCATGAGTTCTTCAGCAGTTGCTATGCCAATTTGCTCAGAGTCTTTTAAAATACTTATGCTTTTTTCAGTGCTGTTAATTGTACGTTCTTCTATTATCCTTTTCTTCTCGGCAAAGGACTGCATTTGGTCCTCGAAAGTGGGTGGTGCATTATTGTATGTCGGAGTTCGTCTAGAATTTTTTAAAAACGTTTCATCATCTACGTCGTCCTCTTCAAATGGATTTGCAGATTGGTTATATCTATATCCCGACATTTCCTTTTGGAATTTAATTTTCCTAAATCTTTTGTTTGAGAAACGAATTGGTAAAGTTGCAGGAAAGGTATGTACTGACGCGCATCCTAGCCGCGCATATAAAATAATTGTTTTTTTTACACAGTATAACTGTACAAAAATTATCAGATTGCTACTTTCATATTATTAATAAATAATATCTAAGTAAAATAACAAATAAATAAATCAATAAATATAAACAAATACGCGATAAATATAACGATGTTTACATATGCGCGGCCAGGATGCGCGTTAAGTACATACCTTTCCTACAACTTTACCAACGAATTTAATATTTCTAATCTTTTCTTTGAGAACAATACTTTAGTAGAAAAGAACTATTTATTTATTGACAAATTTTTGACCACAGACAGAACTGTTTGACACAGTTACAAAACGGTGACAAATCATAAAATTCTTCTTTTCTAAAATACTTTGTTATTGTATGCTACATCAGCTAAAATAAATACGCAAAAAATTAAATTCAGATCTCAGAACAGTATCAAATAGTAGAGAACTGTCAATATTAATAATTCAAAAAATTAGCAAAAAAAAGTGAAAACTAATAAGGTGCGTATTTATAAACAGAACTCAGCTGAGTAGGACTTGGCTGAATTCTGTTTATAAATAAGGACCTTAATCCAATGCACTGGATTGCTGAAATAGAATGATTAAGGAAAAGAAGAATCATAGTTTGTTTTGGTTGTCAATGTCATCTGTCTCTGTCAATACCCAAGCCCAAATACAAACGAAAACGTACGTCAAACGTAAATAAAAATAAATCTTCATTAATCGTCTCCTTGTATTAGTAGTTTCTTCAAATTATTTATAAATTATAAACTCAGATCCTCATAATGTCTATTGGTGTACCTATTAAAGTTCTACATGAAGCCGAAGGTCATATTGTAACCTGTGAAACTATTACCGGCGAAGTTTACAGAGGAAAACTTATAGAAGCTGAAGATAATATGAATTGCCAAATGACTCAAATTACTGTAACTTACAGAGACGGAAGAGTAGCACAATTAGAGAATGTTTACATTAGAGGATCTAAAATTAGGTTTCTAATATTACCAGATATGTTGAAGAATGCTCCTATGTTCAAAAAGCAAACTAAAGCTGGGACTGCAGGTAGAGGGAAATCAGCAATTCTTCGAGCTCAAGGTAAGAATTTTACTTATTTAATCTTGAATCCATTGTATATATTCTGAAAATTGCACACTAAATGTAAAATATCAATTCTGTACCATCCGTGAATAAGTGGATAAGTCAAATTTTAGTAAAAATAGGATATCTACATATATCTAAAAGGCTCTTCCTATTCTGTTTGGTGAATAAATGGGCGATTCAAATTCGCAATAGCTTCCTCCATGAGTTCACTTCAGAGGACGCTGTGAATAGTTGGATTTCTCCAGTTTTTTGTGCCAAAACTGGTAACTACAGCTATCCCCAGATTTGGAAGAGGTTTATCCAAATGATCAGTCGTTTTTTAGTTTTCTTTTCCAATCAAAATGTATGTTATTTGAAATAAGTTCACTTTGCTTCTTTCATGAATAAATAAAAATATTAAAAAAATTTCAACACACATTTGAGGTCAATAAATAGGCAAGTTGGATTTTTTCCATTAAGTAATATAATTTCACAGGTCATAATTATTTACATTGTTGGTTGTATAATTAACAACCTATTTCAAAAAACCGAAATTCAACTTGAACTTTGTTTTTCGAAAACATCAAAATGTTGTTTAAAATAGCCATACTGAAAAACTTCAAATTTTTGACTTACCGACTTATTCACAGATGGTACATAATTATTTTGCTGGGTATTGAAAATATTGTGCTACATCAAAAGTTTATTTTTATATTGTATGCTAATTAATAATAGATATCACTTTTAACATAAAAAACATTTATTATAATAAAAATTTGCCCTACATACACTGTAAACAAAACTAAAACATTTTTATGTATAACAGAAAAAACATTTATTGTAACAAGTAACAACCTTGTAATTTTATTTTAGCTCGGGGGAGAGGAAGGGGTCAGCCTCCTGTGCGGGGTGGCAGAGGTGCTTGGCAAAATCAGCAGGGCGCTCCACAAGGCAGAGGAAGATAATTATTGATTTTAGATTTCCTGTCTCAATGTAAATATTATTTTGTGAACTGTATTGGGCATATTTTTGTTGCCAATGTGTTTAATAGTTTAGGAAGAATGTCGAAAAGAACAGATAATGTTAATTTAAGATATTTTGTATTTATGTAATAAACATAAAAATATATTTTTTTATTAATTTATTTATAATTTAAATCCTGTATGAATGGCTACCATACCAAGAGTTAGATTCTCATAGGATACTTGCCTGAATCCTGCTTCTTCAATCATTAGCTTAAAATTTTCCTACAAAAAATAATTACATTTTTTGCAAATTTGTTTATAATTTGTGTTTGGATAAAAGTAATTTTGTCTAATGGACAAAGCAGCTCACCTGTGTGGGAAATTGCCTAATGCTTTCTATCAAATACTGATATGGTTGCCACTTTCCTGCAAGCACTTGGCCTAATACAGGAATTACTTGAAAACTGTATTGATCATAAAGCCTGAAAAAAGTTGTTTTTTCATTTATCAACTCTGGAAAAGCAGCTTAAATTGAATTTGTTTTGTAAAAACAATTCATTGTTAATAGAGTGCTTTTTAATCAATTAAAATTATTATAGCAAGGGCAGAAGTTAGAAAGGCTTTTCGCAGTTCTCACTCTTCATACACATACATTGCCAGTTTTGCAGCAGAGCTAACCGAAGTGGATGGGATGCATTGGTGTACAAAATTATTTTATAGTTAACAGTTTTGGGTAAATTTAATAAATTGAGAATAGCTGTTGAAATTTTATACAATTATGATTTGAATATTATAATAATTGTTCCACAAATACATGCGATTGTCAGTTAGTCTGGTAACAATTTAAAATTACTTATTCTATGAAGCAATACTGGCAGATAAACATTACTGCAAAATTATTGAATTCATCCAATGTGGTTTGATGTTTACCCCTTCTCTACCTACCAAAAGCCTTTTCAACTTCTGCCCCTGCTATAAATCATCATCAACAGGCCAGTAAGCAGGTAAAAATTTAACATTAATATGTTGACTGCTGCAGGAATTTTTAGGATTCCAGTCTAAAAAGCCAATTTAATTTAAACAATATATCTTAAAAATTAATTATAATTGGTGATGTTAAATACCTGGATATTTAAAAATTTGGGTAAATACCCAAAAGTCATAAATACCCGGTATTTACAAAAAATATTTGTTTCTGTTTTATTGTAATCAAGTATATTTACAGAGCACATTGGCATAATTGAATTGATTAACAAAATCTTGTAAAAAAAGTTTTGCTTTTAATTTAATAAAAACTTTCATTTTACTAGCAAGTGTTAAGTTTGTCAATTTGAAATTTAATTGGTTTATTATTGTTCCAATTTTACTCCATAAATTACACCTTTAGCCAATGGCCTTAAGATATGTAAGAAATAAAACTCACATAGATTAACAATAAACCATAAAGAAAAAGAAAACTCAAGAGACATTGTCACAGAAACATGAGTGACTATTTCCTTATGAAAACAACTACTCCTTTGGCTAATACCGCAACAGGTATTGCATTTTAGCAGTTAGAAAATAATTTTCAACACTCCAACATTGATTTTGCTTCCTAAGGAGAAAATTATTCCTTGACTGGTTTCGCTCTTATTATGACTTCAGCAAGAAATAGATGAACTTGATTCCAGTCTCTTATGAATTCTGATGGTACTATAAAATTCGTGGAATAATAACCAGACTAGCACTACTAAAGCAAATAAATCCAAATTCTCAAATGTGATCTATTTAAAAATAAACCATAAAAGAAAAAGACTTTTGCATTCTAGGACAAACAGACACATAAAAGACAGCCTTTGCAACCGCCTACATGAGAAACAGATTGGGAGGTACACCAACAGGGAGCTGTGTTCAATATACCCTTGTTTTGGATATTTATCTGAACATCTCGTAAATACCCATTTTTATTTACCATACCCACTGGGTATTTATCCAGCCCACATCTTTAATTATAGTACACATAAAAAAGCATAGAGAATGTGTTAAAAAATATATCTTACAAATTATCTTTGGTTTATGTAACATAAAACTCTTGGCAGAAGCCAATTACAAGTTAATTCCTACACAGTCAAATAAATCCATTGGTTAGTAGTAAATCACAAACAAAAATTTGAGAAAACTAAAAACTGTCCTGTATAAACATTTTTTTTTAACAAAAAGTTGTTCCAAACTATTAATGCCATCTGTCATTATTATTGAATCAACATTTTGCTAAAAAAAAAATGTTTACACAGGCGTTTTTTTAGTTTTCTTAAATTGTTATGGACTTACACTCGTTTAACATGAAATGATTTAATTACAATCAATGTACTTACCACTGAGCATACGAATATTCTAAATGACTAAACTCCAAACACATGAACCTTCCTCCTGGTTTGAGCACTCTGTAAGCTTCAGCAAGAACTTTATGGATATGTGTACAATTTCGAATCCCAAATGATATAGTATAAGCATTAAAACTATTGTCTTCAAAATCTAACTCTTCAGCATTACCTTCCTTCCATGATATTAGATTTTGATCATAATTGAGTTTTTCGCTTCTAACTTTTCCAACTTCAAGCATGTGTGGATTGATGTCGCACACAGTAACATGACAATTCTTGAGATTATTAGTTTTTAAAAAGTTTAAAAATCTAAATGAAATATCCCCTGTCCCCCCTGCAACATCTAGTAATTTTGTATTATCTGTAGGCGATAAACTACACATAAAATAATCTTTCCAAAGGCGATGAATGCCCAAAGACATTACATCGTTCATTTTATCATAGTCTATAGCTACCTTTTCGAAAACTTCATAAACTAAAATAAAAAGTTATACTAATAATTATGGCTCAAAGAGGAAAATAAAGTTTGTACCTTTCTGAGGTTTTTCACTTTGCTTCACCCTCTTAAATCCAAAGTGTGTGTCAACATCCTCGGCTGTAGATGAGGCCTGTTGAGTTATTGTCCTAATTCTGGTCGAAATACACCTTTTATCAAATAGATTATTAAATAACTTATTGAATTTTTGAATAGAACGTGCCATATTTTAACAAATTTCAAAACATTCATGTATTTGTCAAGGTTATGTCTAAGGTAAACGTAAACAACTTTAACCTTGTTTTTTTAAATTTGAAATCTTCTTTTTATATATTGCTGCGTTTGAGAATCCACATCGGATGCATTTTTTACATCTCGAGCGTTTTTTTATCCACATCGGACACATCTGTCCCATTACATTTACGTATACTGAATCACGTGATCAAAGATTTTTTACATCTCAGATGCATCCGATGTGGATTCTCAAACGCAGCATATAATTGAGGTTCTACCCCAGTATATATACCAATCAGTATTAGGCATTCCAAACTGAATGGCTACCAGTGGGTTCTGACGGGTTATGATATGGCAAAATTATGGCAACCCTGTAGGTCTGGTGATTTGACAAGTTCAATGAAATAGATAGTTACATAGATTGATCATCCATTTTTTTCAAAATAAACATAAGCTTATGCCTTGAAGTAAAAATATAAGAAATTATTTTTTTTTAAATATATAAAGGCTAAAAATTGGTTTTAAAACACATTTTTGCTAAACCGATTCAAATTAATAAATATTTGCCAGGCAATATGGCCGCTCGTAAACGACCAGCTTTGAGCAATCTATATAACTATATATGTATCATTGACCCTGTTAATGACAACATGACAACAGGGTTGCCATATCTAAACTGTCATTACCCACTGGTAGCCATTTGGACAGGTCGTTGGAATGCCTAATTGGCACTCTGAGGCGGCACGTTTGATCTTTAAAAGTAGAAATTTTAGTTGACACTTGACGTTTTCGGGATATGAAAAGTTTTCTTCACACGGACTTGGTATATCTGGTTAGTTGAATTTTTGTTCTGCTGCTTTTCAAATTTGTGTGTATGAGCGAGATGTGAGATACCTTTATACTGGGTCTTCAACAATACCGAAAACCCACGTGACCAAATCGTCATGACAGCGATTGGTGAAAATAAAAGTAAAAATCCCTAAATTTGAGCCAGTGCCGTAGGTATTTTATTACAAATAGAAAATAGATCTTTTTTTATGGTCTGCAACTACGAGAACAAAATTCAGTTAGGTAACTGTTAGAATTACAACACAAATTCATAATATTAATTAGAGGTGCTTTACATTATTGTATTTTAATGTTAGAATTCGATATTTTAATTAGATTTAATCAAATTCAATTATCTAATTTTTAAAATTATGATATAAATAACATAACCTTAAAAACTGAGCTGTTTATATCTAGTTTGTATTTAACGAAAAGAATACTAAACTGAAATATGGTTCGTACTAGTTATTGTCTCTACTACAAAAAAAACCTTTACCAGAACAGGGCACAAAAAAGTTATGGATAAAAATGTTATGCATTAAAATATGAATAAAATTAAAAATTATTTACTTTAGATTGACTCTTTAAGGGCTGATTCCACCGTTGTGTTAAACGGAGATTAAAATGACATTGTTAATGTAAAAATGTCATTTTAAACTTCGTTTAACACAACGGTGGAATCGGTCCTAAGATATTTAGCTACAGCTGAAACTCTAAATACGATAGGCAGAAGACAATGGCAGTATTTGGCAATTATTGCAATTAAAGTAAACAAATTTAAGACTTACTGGAATTGAACCTGGATAATGGGAAGTAATAAACACATAATTTAAGTTTGTTCTATTATTTGTTACAGGACTTACAAAATACATTGTTACTTCTCACTTTAAATTATAAAGGCATATCTATTAACAACTATTTTATTTAAAAGGATATTGAGTAGTAATCGGTGGTGCACAAACTAATTCATACTAATTCACAGTACCTATCTGTTCAAAATCTTAATCACCAGCTTTAATGCAAGCATTAAACCTTCTTTTTTGAACACATTATGCAGTTTCTCCTCAGTTATATTTTGTATATCATTCAATATAGGTGCTCCAATTCATAACGTCACAAACGATTTTGAATTGAGCGATCTGTAATATTCCATATGTAGTTTTAACAAAATTAAGGTAAAATGATTGTTGCAGTATCGAAACTTTATAGGGGATGCATTATCAGAATTTTTTTTTAACTTTATGGCTAGTTCGTAGTGATGAACCTAAAAAAAAATATCTTTTGAATTTCACTCGCCAGAGTCAGTCTTTAAAACACCGTTCATACCTGTTTGAGGTGCTGTTTTTTTTACTAATTTATTGGGAATTTACAACATGTTAATTTGCACATCTTCAACAGCTTTTGTTATTACTTTGGGCATTTTAGACCTTTTTCCTTTTTTGAACAAGTATTTGTTTATGACGACAAAAAAGAATCACATTCCATTTATTCACCTGGAAAATGTTCCTCAAATTTTCGAATAATTTTGTTCCAGTATAACATTACCTACAATAAATTATATAGTCATTAACTTTTACGAGTTACAGTAAATAAATTTGTCCTTACCAACAAAAAAGAAGCCACCAATATTCTCTAAAAATAACTAATTGCTTTATTAATATTAAATGAAAAATGGACTAAGGGTGTTTATAAAATGTAAACAAATATAATATAAATATTGTCAGTCCCCAAATGAACGCCAGTGACATTTCTGACAGGATTGACAGTTCAGTTTAGTTCCTTTTACGTCAAATCAGGCCCTTTCGATGGGTTTTTGATGGTTATCAGATCACGTGGGTTTCGGGTATTGTTGAAGACCTGGTAGACAACGGTTGGGGTTGAACAACTTAATTACTTTGAAGAAGAAAATAGATTAGATATCAGGGCAGTCTTCGCAAATGTGAGAAGGCAGAACCGTTTTAAAAAAAATTTATATATGTGAAATATTACTTTTTAGTGAAAAGTTTAATTACTTTTAGTTCAAAATATAAGGTTGCTTGTCAAGGAAAATATATAACACACAAGGTTAGAGTAACAAAATAGAGATTTTGCTTTATTTCTTAAGAATTACTCTAATCTAAAACTTTTCTATGTTGTAGAAATTTATTCTATCCGTTATTTAGGTACTTACTGCAAAATCTATAGGAATGTATGTAGTTTTAAATATAAAAATTTATAATGGAGACATATTTAGTGTAGTTTTTTTTTACAAATATATACTCAGTGACTTGTTTTAGTGAATGAGTTCAAGTATGGCAGACTAAAATCGTTACTTTCTATTATGAATTTATTTAAAAATGGGAACTATATGTATTGGTTTCGTAGTTTTTACACTTGTAATAAAAATATCAAAGTTATGTTTATTGGCCATTTACTACACACAGCAAATTCATAGACACTATATATATATATATATATATATATATATATATATATATATATATATATATATATATATATATATATATATATATCACTATTTGACATTCTTATTAAACTCATTAATTTAAAATTAACTTTAAACTGAGTGACTACACACAGAATTGTTTGAAAGCAGCCATAAAGTATAATTTATTTATTGGATACTATAAAAAATTAATAGTAGTTACATGTAGAGTTAAGTAACAAGAACTTTAAAAACAAAACAAACCTTTATATCTAGTGAACTTAATTTAGTAGTCCTCAACTTTCTTAGGCTAACGTTAAAGATATCTATTTGGACCTCGCTAAAAAACTCATAGGTAACAGCCATTATCTTGTTAAAAGGAAATATACTACTTGGATCTAAACTAAATAATTTTTTGTTACTTAGGATTCTTAGATTAATCTTTGCCACATTAAAATTTATACAGTCAATCAAATCACAATCTTTGTACTTAACATTATTTAAAATAGAGTAAAAAATATATCACAGCCTGTTGCTTTCTTCTTTGTAAAAGAGATTTAATCTTAAAACTATCAAGCATAGTTTTATCTGAGATCTTATAAAGGTACAAGTATTTTTTATGGCATAAAGGTAGGGTAAACATATTTTTTGTACTTTTTCAATATGATCAATATGTATGGCTTTCAAGAGCATCCATATTTGTGAAACATACTCAAGATGGAGTAAGGCATTATATAATCTGATTTTCGTGGTAATTCTAATTTTTTTTTGTATTTCTGATTTAAAAACCCAAAGCTTTTATTGTTTTCTTAGTTATGTGTAAGAAATGGTTATTAAACTTCTAATTAGACTGAAAGACAACTCCAAAATCCTTTATCTCATATTCACGATTTAATGTGACATCACAGGTCTTGTGTCTAATGTAAAAAATTAAGAGGCTAGGGATCCTTACAACTTAAAATATGCATATGTTTGTAAGTGTTAAATGGACGGATAAAAAGTGTTGTTTTTATTTACAACTATAATAAGACACATATTATTTTTGATACCTGATAATCAATAAACAATATATTTTTTGGAGTAGTAACAGATTTATTAATACACAACTATTATTTTGTTACAAATATTTATATTATATTTATAATTAACATAATAGTTGATATAAGTCCTTTAAAAATAATATATTTTGATTTAATTGTTGACTTTATACATGAGCAATTTTCCTTGTAGCGTTGTTTACATTTTGCAGAGAACTATTGAATTCTGCTTTTAGCTGATAAATCATGTACATGTAAACGGGTTGAATGTAGACAATGTTAATGTTATTGCTACTACTGCTGGCTAGGATTGCTGGGCTAGGACACTAACACAAAAAAAACGAAGCACAAAGCACTAGATCAGTTTCTATCACTTATACACTTACAATTTACAACCATTCAAGGAACTAGCATGTTGGAAATACTTTACAAAAACATATTAAACATAAATCAGTCGAATGCAATGTATTTTCTTCTTATAAGACACCTTTTTAGCTTGATTACTTCTAGTACTCTATTTATTCCAATGTCCTCAAATAAAACGAGCAATAATACGTAACAATAAGGATAAAAACACACACTAAAGTGTATTTGGGGTATTTTTGATCTAAATCCAGTATCAAAAATAATAAATTTTCCGTTTTTAAGCTGTGAATGTATTACAAAAACTACTTCGATAAAATGTAAACAAAAGTTTGTATT